ATTTTTAACAATTTCAGTTTGGCTTTCGTGGAAGCAGTTTCTGGACGACTTGTAGGGGAAAGAAATTGACCTGTCTAGTTCTAGTGCTAAGTTTCCTACCTCGTGAGTGAAGGAGAAGAGAAAGCAAACCGCCTACAAAGCCACTTAAAATGTTTGCACACAACTTGGAACATTAGAGAAATCCAAAGGAACTTTTATTAAACAGCTCATAGCTGCTTCTGCATACAGAGGCAGGTACTGTTGTCAATATGGAAAGACAAGTTGAAAATTAAGCAAACTAAATGAAAGGAAATGATTACGTTTAAATTCAATTTTTTTCAAACTAGAGCATGAAGTAATCCAGTTATCATTAATAACCTGGATAAATATATTACTCCTTAGGGGCTAAAGTTATGACAAGAGTAAGTCCTTTGTGTCACGAAATGAAAGTTAAAATAATCTGAGTAAAGCAATGAGTTTGTCAACAGCTACATAACAAATGTAACGTTAGCAAGTCATGTTTTGTCAAGGTAAATTTCGGGCATACCTTAAGTATGATTTGCAGTCGTTGGACCGAGCGACATGTCTCTTCAGTCTCAATGACCATATCTGAAAATTCTTAGCCGATTGATAGTAACATGGCTCAGTAGCCCTTTTGAGCTACCAATTGTTGTTTATAAATCGATGCTCGAAAAAGCATAGGTAGAAAAACATTGAACGATCTAGAAGTCGTATGTAATTAAGTAAATGTATGAATTTCTGGTTTCAAATTGCTTTCTTGATCATAAACACTCTCATCATAAGTGGGTAAGCAATGAAAATAAAGCTTATTAAGTAAATCAAGGAAAAATCTACTTGCACATTGAGTTGAATCAAAAAATAGGTCTGCTGGAGTCGATACAATGACACAATTTGGGTATTTGAAAAATATGCAAAAATGCATTACAAAGATGAATAAAGCTTAATTACTCATCACTCCAAAGGGAATCATCAAGCTTTCGTCATTTTCTTAAATAAATAAAACAAACATGTTATCCGGTAGTGGCAGTCAAAGTTTCAATCAGGCTGTAGAGAATTGAAAAATTTGGAAACAAAATATAAATCTTTTCACTAATGAAATCTTTATATCCTAAACTAACTGTTTGTATTAATCTATGAGAGAAGGATTGCCCACTAATACTACTAGCAATTACCTGTAATGAAAAATTTAACTGAAATACCAAAGATCGCAGTTATTGTTCAATGTTTCGAGGATTTACTTGCAACTTAAGTGAACGAGGCTTCAAGACAAATCCAAACTCTCCATCCATGTTAAGTGGCACGCTGTGCTCCGGAAGCTGTAAATGCAGTCCTTGCAGGAGACACCCGAGAAACATAAACAGCTGCGCCTTAGCGAGGGTAGCACCAGGGCAGCGCCTTCCACCGGTTGAGAATGGAAGCAGGAAAGCCTGCTGGTCCAACAAGAGTTGTCCCTCAGTGTCAAGGAAACGGTGAGGATTGAAAACCTCTGGATGGTCGAAGTATTGTGGATCGTGATTTACAGCCCAAAGATTTACCACCACAGTCGTTCCTTTAGGTACACGGTAACCTGCGACTTCTGAATCTTCCGTAGTGTAGTGTGGAATAGAAAGGGGAAGAACGGTAGCCATTCGTAATGCCTCTAAGACAGTGGCACGTAATAGGGGAAGTTTTGCTCGATCCTGAAGAGAGGGAAGGCGATCCACTCCTATCACGCGTTTCAGTTCTGCTTGTAAGTCGTCTTGCAGACCAGGTTTCGAAAGGATATAGAGCAGCGCCCAGCTCAACGAGGTGGACACGGTCTCAATTCCGCCTCCAAAAACGTCGGCTAAAACTTTAACCGCCAGGTCTTCTAACGATTCGCTGCGAGCTTTCTGTTCGGTTGATTTAGAGGTTTTTGGGTCAGGCTTTCCAGCATTTACGAGATCCTCTCTAATAATTTGATCCAAAGACGCTGCCACATTGACACCAGCTTCTTTGATGCTAGCATGCCGCTGCAGTGTGTAGATGCTTCTTACAAAGTCAAAAAGCTCTCTGACAGAATCTTTCAGAGTTTGGCATTGCTTTTTGAAGAGAAAATGAAGCCAAGGGAAGAAATCTATTAAGTTTATGACCCCATTGTTCTCAGTAAAGTCAGCTGCTTTCTTCATGAGGCTCTGCAAAGCAGCACTGTAGTCCTCTTCGAAATTATCTCCAAAGACAAATCTGAAAGCAAAGTTAATGACCATAGTTTTTAGGTGTGGAGTCAAGTCTTGAGCCTCTGAACTGCCATCCGTCAAAAGGTTGCAACGCATTCGCTCAAACTCTTGATGTGACAAGCTATTAAAGCGGTTCACATCAGTGAAAACAGAATGCAGGGCACGAATAGCCATTTTCTTTTTTTTCTGATGCGAAGGGCCAAAGTCACCAAAGACTATGCTCTCGCTGTGATGAGTGCTAATTTTGAAACTGTGAAAGGGTGGTCTCCCCGAGAAATGGCCAGCCCTTTTTGACAGTGCTTCTTTAACGACATCTTGGCTGTTCAAGACGATTGCTTTTCTCCAACCAAGGCGAATAGAAAATACCTTTCCGTAGTCTTTGGCCATCTTCGATAAGGCGAGATGCGGTGAATCGCCAAGTTGAAGCAGGCTCCCGATTAGTGGCAAACCGAACGGCCCAGGAGGAATGTCTTTCGGAATTTTGGACCATCCCCAGATGAGCAGCAGGAAAGCAGCGATGCTGGCGACACTGAAAAAATAAAACAACGGATTTTCTCGGAAGATCGAGATTTCGTCCATGCCAGGTAGCTCAAGAGAGTCAAGGGTGGTTATTCAGCAGTTTTGTGGCAAGTCTTGTTCCCCCGCTTAATTGCGGGTGGTATTTATATAACTACTCTGCGTAACCTTGCCTATTTGTTTACCTAAAAAATTGCCAATGTCAAGGTCGCGAGTCACACTTGAGAGGCTCTATTTATCTAACAAACAGATGGAGCGTGTCTCGTTAAGGTCTGCATCACGAAATCTACCTCCTCCACATCTAATTATTGCTCAAGTTGTAGACGCTTATTTCATGGAACATTTTGGAATAAAATATCTATAAAGGAAAACGACCAAATTAAATAACAGTGCGCTGTTTTTCAGCCCCCCACCACCACCTCCCGTCCCGCCTGGTCTATTACTATTGTTACAATGAGTAACTACAGATACACAAAAGACGACAACTTTGTAATCAGTTTGCTGTTCCTGAGGTTGCAAAACTTGAGCAAACAACATTCATTAGTAAGGAAATGAGCAGCAAGCCGACTCGTCTGTCTGATAATCCGCCGTACTTCCCAGTTTCACAAACGAGCAATCATTTGTTACTTCCGTGACCTTACAAACACACATCAGTTATATCGTCACCTTGGGTCTCTTTCATCTGACACCGACGGCAATTTTACGGGTTGACGGTAATCGTCAAAAATACCGCAGCTTTCAACCTTGAAGAACAACCTGTATTTGTCATCCAAGGTTATAAATAAAACCTGATGAAAATTAAAAGTTTCTTTGATATCATACCATAATCAAGAATGGGGTTATTATAAGGATCAGATTAGATTTGATCAAGTTACTTCATTTGAGAGTTTTCGTGCGGAATCTATACACTTGTTTCGGTGCAAAAACAATCCTTGAGCAAAAGAAGATTAAGTTTCTTTTAATAGTGCTTCCGAAAACAAAGTCGTTAATGGTACTGAGCTATAAATATCTATTTTCATGATTTTATTAACCTTGACTGCAAAAGAGTAAGGTAACTACGTAAATGAAAAGGTTTGCAATACAAGCGATTTTACAGCCAAGGTCACAGTTGGAAATTAATCGCTCATAATAAATACTGTTACAAATCAACTATTAGACAATGAATATTGCTTTGTACCCTGACTGTCATAAAGCAAAGAATGGATATTTGTTTTCCTATGTGGGCGTCAAGATTGACTCTTTTGTGAGGGATCACCTAACCCTGAGGTAATTTGTTTTCAAATTGACAACTATTGGTATTCCGTTAAATGAAGGACACGCTTTCCTCACGGAATAAAAACAAAAGAATTTTGTTACTCTTGAAAACAGCAATCCACGGTCTTCAGCTGGATATTTTAAAGTTCTTCTATACGACTAAACTGCAGCGGAACACGAGATCTTTACGTCGAGGAATGCGGAAAGATTCATTACCAACTTGCGATACCCTTACTGCAATACAGCCCTTTCATTTAATTAGCACGAGATGTTTAGAAATTGAAACCAGTCTGAAAAATCCCAAGGTCACAAACACATCCACGTGGTAAGTTGCGCTTTCAACAGACGCCGAAATACGTCATCAGGCAGACTTTCCAACTGGCTAACCAATTCCCTATTTTGTTGACTCACGTCAAAGTTTCGCAGAATCCTTCGCACACTGTGCATAATCAACTTCAAAATGGATACAATATGGGTAACTGACCACACTGTGGTAAATATGTAAAATGAACCTTCAGTTAGGTTAAAACTCGTCCTAGTTGTAGGGAAATAATAAGTCGCTAGATTGAAATATACGTAGTAAAGCTTAATCATGTCTTTTTCCCCTGTAGTTAATTCTTCTTATTATGCCGAGCAGGTTGCGTGACATCAGGGAACCTTCTTTAAAAACTTGACAGTTTCAGTATTGGTTGCGTGAGGCTGATTCCACTGATGCTTCATTCTTTTCTATTGAGCTTTGTTTGGCTTCTATAATAATAAACGGTCACTGAAATTAGAGGTGCCTTCTGCGTTGTGAGATGGTTCGTTCTCCGCTTACGGTTTTAGCAGCTTTGATCTTTTAACCTCATTCAAGTTCTTACCCCTTAATACGTTGAGGGGGTTATCAGCTTTTTCTCCCATCTTCTTTTTTCCCTGTTTAGGTTATTACTCGTGGTTTACTGGTGTTTTATTTAGAATTTTCGTAAGGGAAATGCCTCATAAGTTATAGAGGCTTGTGTATGTCTATGATATGAGTGTTCAGATACGTCATTCTAAAACCGGTTTGATCTGAAAGCTTAGAACCAAAGACATTAGTCGAGGCAACCAAATGAATTAGACAGCAGTGTTGACATACCCTGATCCGGTCCAATAACAAACCGCGCTGCCGGAAACGACAAACAATTACCGAATTCAAGAGGGTGTGGGAAATAAAACCTTACTAAACATCATTTGTGTTTCTAGATCTATCTCTTTAAGGTTGATATTATTGACAGAATGTAAAACATGACCATTAAATGTCAGTCAGTCTTGGCAAGAGGTTGTGGTTTCATCGAATACAGAAGAACCCCGCTAACTCGAATTCCCAAAGGAAACGAAAAATGGTTCATATCATTCGAGCTCCAGTTTTAAGTTAATTTCCCCAATAAGCGCCTTCAATACTAATGCAAATTGACTTAATTACACTGCAACAAAGGACATCAAAGCGTAATGGATTCGCAAGCCAAGTACAACTTTCAAAAGCCAGTCCTAAAAATTGGTATGGAATTTTAGAGGTCGGGTCTTAAAACAAGATGGAAAACGGCATACTTTTCTCTGCAGTAGGATCAGGACTTTGAGAAACGGCTAACGCACCCCTTTCAATAATCCTGAGGAGAACCCCCTCCCACTGGGGGATACTCACGCCTTGAACCTACCCGCAGGGTCTCTCTGGTCAGTTCTGCCTGCCTATCGTTCTCCTCTTGTTGCTGTCGTTTCATGCAAAAGAAAGAGCAATTTTTATTTAATCTTCTGCACGTCATAGTAAATTGAACTGTGCATAGGTCTCCCTATGGGTAGGAAGGAAAAAATGCTTGAAAAAACAAGGACAAAAGCTTACCATTAACTTGTTTAAAGCCGTCGATTCCTCTTGCTGTTTCTTATGTTCTTTTCTTTTACCCAGCTCTGCTCTTAGGTTTTCAAGTTTCGACTCATTCCCCAGCGATCGAAGACGTTCTACTGTCATGAAAATGAGAAGCAGGATGACGGAGTAAGTACATGCAGAGAACTAAATTCCATCGAAAACGAAGCTCAACTACCTCCCCTGCTACGATGTGTCTTACACTTATGCGAAGGTGCGATATGAGTCCAAATGGCTAAAACCCTGCAAGATGAATGACAACTCCTCAATTGATAAAATCAATGCCACAGTTAAAACAGTATCCGATCAAATATTCCGAGTTTTGAGTAAGGTTAATGACTTCTCAGTTTATCCCGGTGAATTCATTCACCGGTGATAAACTCAATGTTTCTCATGCAATTATTAGTTTTACGTCCTATTTCATCATGAATGAATGCATTCATGGGGGGAACTTTGCTCACATTATTATAGCAAGGTATTGATAAACATACCACTGTCAATGATCTACCCCATTTTTCGCCCAGCAAAATTCAAAGATCTTTTTACATCATGAATGAACGCATTCATGGGGTGGAACTTTGCTTGCAATATTATAGCAAGGTATTGATAAGCATACTACCGTCAATGGTTTACCCATTTTTCGCCCAGCAAAGATCTTGTATGTGTTTCTATTATGCTGGAATTTAACCAGAGGTCATTCTTTACTCGTTCAAGGACACATATTTGAATTATACATTTTCAAAAATTAAAAAACTATTTATCTTACACTCTTCGCTGAGTTCGGTATTTTTGGCTTTTTGTTGTGTTATTCTCCTGTGGACGGGGAGCTTTCTCTTGTATTCTGCCACTTGATGGGTATATCCTGCCATTTTTGCCCTATATCGTTTGTACAATCTACGACAAGGGAAGATTTAACTCAAATTAAACTCGCGCTGCGCGCTCGTTCGATTTAGAAATCTCCCGTATGATTTCAGACCTAACTTGAAAGTGCACGAAAGATGACTCAGTTCTGATTGATTAAGATGAATGCAGTTTTTTCAGGTAATTTCGATGCAGAAGAGAGTTTATTCAGTGCAAAGTAGTAACAAACCAGACTGAACAATTTCTTGAACTGTTTAGCCGGATTTTGAACTTTGTTGCGTCTTAAAGTGTAAAAATATTGCACCCGAAATCATGTGATTACCTATCAATCAGTACAATTATCATAATAAACCCAATAGTGACTCGATCAATCGCATTTTCTTTGGCTCCTTGTGATATTTTCTTTTTATCTGTGTGTTTGGCTGTTGTGATTACTTTAGTTTTGGTATTACGAGAATCAATCGAAATGTTCTCTAACGAACTCCAGATCAGGAGATTCCATATTTTGACATGAAGCTATTTTCTCAAAAACTCTTTCACGTGCCGGAAAGTGGTTATTAAGTTATTTTGATTCATTGCTTACTCTCTGTCCCTCTCCAGTTTATCATTTGCGATAGCAAGCTCCTTTGTTAGTTTCCTCTCGGATGCAACAAGGGCTGCAATATCTAAGAAGCAAGCACGACAGCACGATAGATAGGTATAAGTACACCATTGTAGAAGGTTCAGGAGGTAACAACTTTTTAGACGTGTTCTAAATTTTTTTTACAGCTAAAAAAAATTAAAAAAAGGTAAAAATTGTTATTTTGACCAAACGCACAAAGAAACTAGTAGGGTTTGATCATGAATAACAGGTGTGATTTTGGTGGTCTTTGAACAAATTATACTTACTTATGAAGAAAATAACTATGTTCTTTTGCTGCTTATCTATTCCATGTTGCACTCGCGACCATATAATTGCCTGTACCGTTCATTACCATCATTATTTATTTCTCACAGTATTATTGTTGATGTTGTTCTTGCTACACTCATCATATAATTTTATATTATTATTGTTATCATCATTATTCGTACTCTTATTATTATTTGTTTTTATTGAAAAGAAACCCAGTTTTTTAGCACTGAATGTTTACCTAGATTTAAACAGTGCGAGAAGACCCAAAGTGTTGTCTTGGAACCCCAAATAAACCCCTCCAGCGACGCAAAGTCAAGTTTAAAACACAAAATACCTTTGTCAAGTTCTTCACACCATGCCTTCTTTTTGGAAACCTCTTCGTCCATTGAATAGATTTTTCTCGAAACAGCTGCAAGGTCTGACTTCACGGAGTTAATCTTTAATTGAACTAGTAGAGTTAAGATTATTAGCGACTAGTTCAAGATACCTTCGAGAACAGCGCTTGATTGTCAGTAAAACAATTTCTGATTCAAATCTGAAAGTAACGCAGAAATTTTTACCTTGGTAGCAATTATCCTGATTGTGCCAAATATGAATGAAGCAAACAAAAATACAATAAAGTTACACCGTGAATGCTCAAAAGGGTAGTAAACTACATTGAATGAATTTCATAATCAATAAAGCTTCACTCGAATAAACCTTACGCGTCGTTTCAATCACCTTCAGCCGATCACGAACTTCCTGTCTCTGACTAAGCTCGTTAATCTGTTGCCTCTGAGCGACAGCTACTTCTCCTGCCAAATCTGGAAGGGTCGCTGCCTCTGTACGACTTGCATTTATGACGTCTTCAGTGGGAAAATCTTCATGTCCGCTTGTTTGCCCTTCCTTTGAATTTTGCATTAAATGGTCTACTATCCGAGTAGGTTTCGGTGGACTAGAAAGTTCCATGTCTGTCTGATTCAATGGAAGTTTTCTTAGAGGAAAAGAAATCTATGTATTTTGTTTAGAGTTTGCAGATCCAGATAATTTCCCGCCAAAATACAACGCGGTGCACCACACACACTTCTTATCTCCAGGCTTCCGCTCGGCCTGAACTACAATCTAGATAGATTGAACCAATATATAAAATAACTTTGCGATGAGTAAAGGTATATGACAATTTTGCGTACGTGAGCGTTACGATCTAGGGGATCTGAATATAAAATATACATATTTGAACTAACATCACTTTGCGAAAGCAACGGATTAGAGGGTCTAAATTAGTGCTCAAGAAAACCAAATTTTCAGGTGTGAACATATCAGAAAACAATGAAATACAAATCAAGCAGTTTGATTGATTCAGTGACAATCCTGTGGCCAACACTAATTCTTATGAGAGCTGCTTTTGCGCTTCCAGTGAGTGCTGGAAAGGATACTGAAAGCTCAAGGCACTAAGTAAGGCGGGGGAACTATCACTAACCTAGAGCATCACTAGCTCCGATCACTTACAACAAACATGCCTTTAGTTAACTCTGTTTTCTCCCATTATTCCCAAAGGGAACTTCGAGCCGTGAACCTATTTAACCCCTTAACGCCTAAGAGTGACTCGCACCTAATTTCTCCTGACATTAGCAACACTGAATCACACCTTAATGTCAGAAGAAGAAAGGAAATGATCACCAATTAAAGAAACTCTTGATTGTAAGGCAAATTCTCCTTGTTAGCACATTAGTAAATGTACATAGAACAGTATGGAGAATATGCATACTGATGTCAGGGTGTAAAGAGTTAACAAACAAATTCCATGTTGCCGTGCGTCTGTTCAGTGAAAGATCACAGATGACGTCAAAATATGGTGTGAATGAGCACGTGGCGACCTGTGTCACTGATGTTCTTGCCACAGTAGTACGCCTTCCGTGATATAAGCATTAAATCGATTTGTCTCATATTATAAGAATCGTTAATAGTGATGTCATATAACGCTCGTCCATCAATAACCACGATAAAGAACCAATCAAAATGCGTACATGATTAAGGTAATTATGACTATTAAGTAATTAACAAAACTGTATGTTTAGATTCTACGCACCCAACGATTACGCGGCCAAGTCTAAATACGAGACTGACGCGTATAACTACCAGAGCCTAGACCAGTTTCCGTTGCTCTGACGACCAGGAGTATTGCTAAGTCTCCCCCCCCTCCCAGAAATGCGTCAGGCTTTCTCCCAGCAGTTCACAGGTACACATTTAAACTCCTGAGTGGAGAGATACATTATGGGATTGAACAAATCACATTGACCAACCCAGGTTTCCAACCCTGGTATTTCGTTAAGCAACCGCATCCTTCATATGTACCACAGCGACAATTTACAATCAACAACAGTCGAGTCAGTGGCAATCATTATCGATTTTTTATTTAGATTCCCTGACAAAACAACATGTGCGTGCTTTCTTCAAAACCCGTCCATATTCATTCATTAAAGTTTCCATAGAATTACGTCCAAAACAAAAATTCATTCACTTCTTCTTTTTCTTTTTTGCTCGGTTAAGTTCTTGCGCAATAAATATTGATCATAAAGTTGGACCTTTTAGCATTTTAAAGTATATTCATTGCAAAATAAACTATTTTTAATTTATCTCACTGTAAACAGTATTCAATCAAGATCTTATTTCGCTGACTTCATTTCTTACCAAGGAGTCCACGAAATAAGTCCGTTCTAAGTCATTGTAAGTCTCTAATTTTTGACGCTATATCTTTTTTACAAATTCGTCACATCTGCATTATTCGAGATAAAAGTAAAAACCTGTACATTCAAATTCGTATCTCGTTGCACTTTCCATAACTTATAGGGTATTTACTGTAAAACTAAGAAGCGCAGTCGACGCCTTTAAAATTGCTTAATTGTAAAAAAATTTGTCAATAACCACAATAACATTCAACTTAATTTGCAGGAACGTTACAATTCGAGTATACAAGAAAATGATATTGTCATCTGTTTCAATCTTTGCAAACCCCACCCACACCCTTTCCTTTTTGGTTTAATTTTTTTACCTTAGTAGTGTTTTTCAAAACTAGCAAATGTTTTTCCAGAGGTTTTCTTTCTATTCAAAATGCATTTCGATTGAGGGCTGTGAAATTCAAAATCAAAATCTCGACAGCCGATCAGAACAGAGCTAAATACAAAGCGGAGCCAATACAACAAGAAAACACAAGAAAACCGTATTGCGTGAGAAAACAAGGGCGACCAAGTTGTGATTGGTTGTGATCCTACATCTGATTGGTCGAGAGGGTGGCAAGAGCGTTCTAAACCAATCACAGTGCGTAGCACAGCAAAACCAAAGCAACCCGCGTCATTTTAAACACTAAATTGAAAATTGCTAGTTTGCAAGAGGATATTCTATTGTACTCTACAGTAAGCCAAAGTCCGTTGAAGTAGCTTTTCTGAGCTGACATCCAAAGGCTCAAGTAAAGGATCAGGAGCTTTCATAGAGGAGAGTCGTGAACTGTAATTCTAATAAGTACTGTAAAATCGTTTCTTCTTTCTTTGCTGATTTGCTTCACTCACGTTCTCTCTCATTACGGCTTGTTTAGTAAGCGTTTTTTTTTAATCGATTTTTGTGTAAAAATGCCACCAACCTTACTGGGCGAGGCGAGCAGAGGTCTTAAAGCTTTATCACTAAATGTTCCAAGGTGTACTTAATAACAAAATTATGTTGGTTCCAAATTAAGTTTTTATCTCCACATGAAAAATGTTCCGTGTTCCGCGAGGAAAATCCTCGTCGACTGTTGACGATATCCATGACCTGGGTTTCCCTTCAAGGACCGTTAAAGTGTACTCCATGTTCTCCACTCACAAGGTGATGGGTTTGTCCTTACACGCGTTTTGACAGAATGAGCTGATTTTTCGGAGAAACTTCGGGTATTCACGTTTTGATACAGCTCGCACTACCGAAGGTGGAGCCCAACCTCCCGGGTTTACTGCAGAAAAAAGAAAAAAAGACAATTACGTCACAAAACACAAAGTTAAGACGTAACGATGATTTGTGAACGATGGGAGTTTTTAAGCCAAAATTACTACAGGTTATCATCTAGAAATTCGTTCAATCGACTCTCATACCATTTGCAGTGTAGGTAATTTTGCAGGTTACATGATCTCGAGTAAGCTTCTCCCCCTCAGCTCTTGGTTCAATAAACGTCTGACAATACAAACCCACAACGATCGAAGCGCGTACAAACTTGTTCATCTAAAGTGAGAACAGTCATACATTAGACAATAGCCAAGAGAAAACATTTATGATGGGACTTGAATAAAAGCGAGCCACATGTAGTTATCATTCCAGATATACTTGAAAAATTTCGAAGCAGTAGTCAACACAATACCATTTGGTTGAGTTAGTAGACTAGGATGAGTTTCAATCAAGTGTTTTAAGTAATACGGGATTGCTGTAGTCGTGCAATACTTTGCTCTGTGATTGCCCTAGAAGACTAATTTAATACTCGCTTTTTCTTTTTTCAACCAATCAGATACAAAAAAGAAAAAAGCAACCGCCAATTGCTAATTCGCGGTTTCCCGCGCTTCGGGAAGCTTGCCAGTATTTACTGCGCGTTCTCGTTGACTAACGATAATGTTAATTCCTGATCTGAGACTCATCTGACTTGTCACTGTTATAACCTGGGTTTTCACCTTTCGACTGCCAATTGAGGATTTATCTAAAAACCCAAACGAAAGCAACCACAGGTTTCAGAGTAAATAAATGTAGACAACTTTATGAACGAAACTTTGGTGATAGTTTGGAGCACAAAAACTGAACAACTGTTTCAAATAGTTTAGCGTAAAAAATTTCGGCAACAACAAGTACCGGAGCATCCTGATGTTCCATTGAATTGTTGCAAACAATCCACGGCCGTCCAACTTCGTTTTCTACTCTTTCACCAGCATCGCTTAACGGAATTTCCCGAATATGAGAAAGAAAAACTGTATCTCTCTGGGACGATGGCCACACCCGCTTGAAAATCTGATGCATTATAATCGAACTCTCGCTGAGTTGTTCCAAAACTTTTGAAGACTCCAACGTGCCTGTACATAAAATAAAACAACAAATACGACCTTGCTTAATTAACTGAACACTTCAAATTCCTCTTAATGCTCTAACTTTTACTGGTAAATATTTGTTCCAGGATTATCCACAAGTTGGGGGGAAAAAAAAAAGTTTTGCTTATTATAAAAGATTGAATCAAATCTTATTTTCTGTAATTAATTTTTAAGGGCTGTTCGAATTTTTTGTACCTGTAAGTAACTTTATCTATAACCTCATTAATCTATGGAAGTGTATCAAAGAAAAACTGGACAGTTCTGATAGTATTATTCTTATCTGTGAAAAGATAGAGGGGCCGCAGCCAGGATAAAACATCTTATGAAATTTAAAAAAACGATCTCTGGCTAAAACTTTTAAAAATACGAGCTTTCGGCTGTTTGCGCTACAGCCTTCAACGGGTAAAATGATAAACAGGTAAAAAATACTAGGTGTGAAGTACAAAGTAAAAATTAAAAATGCTGATAACTAAGAATGTTTGTTAAAAAGAATGTTGTATTGTCTGGGCAAAGGTCAGGAATTGTTGTCCGCAT